ATAAATAAAATAAATCAAACTACACAATAAAAGACAACACCGGTATTTACATGGTTTGTCAAAATTCTTGCTTAAGTCCATGGGGGCATGGTCCAATCACCATCTCTACTATTCTTTATTAACAAAGTCTTGTCCCACATGTTTTGGGTCGATTACATCTTATTTTTTCGTGTTTTCTGCTAAACCAAGTTATCATATCTTTTTCTATTATTTCATTTAAAGTTAATTTAGGTCTACCTCTACCTTTTCGCTTACCTTCAATAGATATCATATCACTTTTTCTGACCGATGTCGTATTAGACCGTTTATAGATGTATCCAAACCACAAAAGTTTATTCTTCCTTAATTTATCCCCTGTAGGTGTCACCTTTACTTTTTCACGGATAATATTGTTATTAATTCTATCATTCCTAGTTTTATCGCATATCCATCTTAACATTCTCATTTTTGCCACACTTAATTGGTCACCATCTTTACTACTGAGAAAAATTGAGCATAACAGTACAAACCTTTCCACTCAAGGTTAAATTTAAAACTTGAGCCTTAAATTCCTTGTACACTCCTCACTTAAATTTACCACGCTCACTCCTCAATAAAGAAACTTTTTTCTCACTTAGAAAGAGAAAATTGCCAATGTGAAAGACCTCACATTTCCTCCATATTCACTACTGAATTTAGATTACCTGAATTCCTAATTTGGGTTTTCCTGGATGCCTTATATCACTAAGATGTCCCGGTATCTTTTTCAACAAATAACTTCTATCTAGTCATGCCTATTTATAGGCCATTGTTGAGGTGGTATTGTGTTGCAAGTTGGCACCCAAGTAGACTCACCAAATCCTTAGCCTTGAAGTAAACCAACTGACATTTATTGCATCTACCTTTTACACTATTACCAATTCATGTGTGTTAGCAATCTATATCTTTTTGTTCCGCTGACTTTTGGCATATTCCAATACAAGAAGTCAAGAAATTACACAAAAGTTAGTCGCCCAAGCCATTTTCTATGAGTTTGAGCCATCACTTCAATAATCTCCACCTTAGCAAAAATTCTACGAACTCCACATGAAACATCAAGCCGCATCTTGAGATAGATGTCCATCCATCCCCACACCCTTGGATGCCCAATCCCTATGTCTCAGGATGTCCATCAATCTTCAACTGTGAAACAAAAAAAGTAAAGACCAGGTTCAAGCAATCTTGAACTTACGGATAGCCATTGGTGTTGTCATTTTCATCTTCTTGCTGAGACATGCTCTGATCTTACCTTGTTGCACAAAAAATTCTTTTTAACTCTGCATTCTCAAGGTTCCACTGAGGATCTTTTTTAGCCATTGTACTGAGCTCCGGTAATTAAGAACAGACGCCTTTGTTCTTAACTTCAACGTTCTCATGTTAAATCCACAATACTCCACTCTCCACAAGCTCCGTGTCTGTTCTTCCAAGAATCAAGCTTATATCAAAACTTTACCAGCTATTCATGAATTGTCGCAATACCACTCTATTCAAAGCCTTTGCATCCAATAGTTGGTGCCTTGCTCCATTGANCTCCACTCTCCACAAGCTCCGTGTCTGTTCTTCCAAGAATCAAGCTTATATCAAAATTTTACCAGCTATTCATGAATTGTCGCAATACCACTCTATTCAAAGCCTTTGCATCCAATAGCTGGTGCCTTGCTCCATTTAGAGTTGTGTTTCCATGACTCCAACACCAAGGGTCCACCACCATTCTCAAGAGCATCATAAGATGGTTCAGTCATATCACTACTTAGAGAGTTCACCTAGGATTATCAACTATCGATTCTGATACCAATTGTTGGGAAATCCTCATAGCAAAAGATGACACCGATATTTACGTGGTTTGGCAAAATTTTTACCTACCTCCATGGAGCGTGATTTAGTCATTTTCTTTACTATTAAGAAAATCAGCACAAGTCTTACCATTCAAGGTTAAATTTCAAACCCGAATCTTTAATCCCTTGTTCATTTTTCATTGAATTTTATCACTCTCGCAGTTTCACTCCCAATAAAGATACCCCTCTCACTCAGAAAGAAAATTATCAAATGTCTGAATTCATACTAAATTTAGGGAACCCCGAATTCCAGGTTGTCTTAATTACACACTTATTCGCCAAATAACTTCATTCATACGTCATTGTTGTGATGTATTGTGCTGCCTTCAGCCAAATAGATGCACCAAATCCTTAGCGTTGAAGAAAACCAACTAACATTTATTGCTTCCACCTTTCACACTATTGCCAATTCATGTGTGTCAGCAATCTATATCTTTTTGTTCCACTAACTTTTGGCATGGAATACAAGAAGTCAAGGCATTGCACAAAAGTCAGTCGCCCAAGCCATTTTCTTTGAATTTTAGTTGCCACTTCAACAATTTGGTGGAGAAAATTGTTGAATCAGCCAATACCTTATAAACCCATATGACACCTCTATCAAATCGATGTGCGATTTGTAGCATTCTCTCCCACTTGAAGAAGCGACACCCTTGTTGCATTCAGTTCCATCCCTCTTTTTTTTTTGGGAAGGGGGGATACTTGACCTAGGTTTACCTCGACCCTGAAATTGCCCAATGACAGATCCACAAATCAAAATTTCAATCTGGGGTTGATTTGCACGGTTGCGTTCATGATATCTACATTCAACAGACACGGTAGAAGTACGTTCACCCAGTGTGCCTCTTTCACGACAAGCATTGCCAATCAGGCACACCATGCGGTTGATTACAACAGAACATTCAACCCACTAGATCTTGCACTTATACCGCTTGTCACAGTCTGGCAACCTTTAATCTTAATATTTTTTAGGTGGAACACCGTCAACAATCTTATAATACCATATGATACCCCTATCCAACCGATGTGGAATAGATGACAGACAAGTGAGTTTTGTTTACATCACACCTCTGCCTTCTGATAGATATGAAGTTATGACACCATTATCGTCTCCTTTGACAGCATTCTATGATGCATCACCAATATCTATCACCTGAAAAAGATACATTGATGCAAAACTTCACGTGGAAGTTGAATGTTGAACCTTTGGTGATGACTTGAATTTTCAGTGGCAATGCTGCCTATCTTTTGACAAGAGAAATGACTTCCAATTTTGTTTCTAAAGTAGTGTGTTTTGTCCCAAAAGAAATAACTCCATTAGAAGCACCTGTATGAATGTCTGTAGTGCAGCCTTTCTCTAATGATTATTGCTTTCTAGAACTCACAAATCTCCTTTCAAACATCTCCGCTATTGAGTCCCAAATTGCTTTAACTAGAAGATGAAGCCGAGTGCTAGCCATGAGAAAAATCTCACTTTGCTTTTTTTTTTTGTTTTCCTTGCGTTTTGTCTTTGTTTACCTTGTTGACTTAAAATGTGATGTAGATTTTTTTTTTGGGAGTGGGAGTGGGAGTGGGAGTCGGAGGGGGAGGGGGACTTGATCCGTTGACTTTAAGAAGACGAAGCCTTTATAAGCAAGGAGTACTATTGGACCAATGGCCCGTTGGTGTGTGATGTAGATTAGGAACGCAAGAATTAGAGATGAGAACAGAGAGAGAATTTGAGAAGGAAGCAATATCAATATTTAATAATAATCAAAGTCTAAATAAAACCCTTATATGTACCCTTTTATATAGGGAAACTAAAAGCCTAAAACAAATAAATAATGATAAATAAACCCTCAAAAGTTAAAAGAAATTACTTAAAATATGAATATTAAAAGTGTCTAAATAACTCTCATAACTAATTTATAATATCTATCTAATTCCTACACAATTCCCGTCAACATGAACTTAAGGAGAAGCATGATTAATTTCTCAACACAATTATCTGCGAATATAATGGAAAATATGTAGAGTATGGATTGAGAGCAGTACTAGATGTTTAGTACTGCTTTATACATTTCAAGTGAACTACACACTCTGGTGGTCTGCACCACTGCAGAAGTCTTGCAATGGTATTCTTATGACATTTTGTTTTGTTCACGTGTCAGACACTTGATTTATTGATTTTTGAACTCCATTATTCTTATCTTCATGGAATCTCAAATGTGGTTGATTTTATTATCATTGTTTGGAATAAGAATTGTAATTTTTGAGACGGCACATTAATATTTCTCAAGCCCAACACGAAGCTAGTGGATATAGTTTTTTTTTATTATTTTGAACCGATAGTGGATATAGGTTAAAGATTTTGACACTGATGTTGCTGGAGATTTTGACACTGATGGTTAATTGTGTTATATTTAGACAGATCGATTAACTTTAGTTTGACATGAACCCAGCATGACATGACATGGCATGGCCAGATTGCCACCCCTAATTGAAACATATTCCTGATGCCACCTATGTATCGTCCTGTCTTCCATTTACATTAGAAATATCCTGCAGCTAGTCTACCATTTAGTTGGTATTTTATTTAATGTCATGGATCCTCTCATATGTGAATTGCACTGAGTTGGCCCAAGTCATTAGGCATCAGTGATCTTTCGATTGGTAGCCTTGTAACTAGCAACTGAGAGAAAGGAGAGACTGTGATTACGAATTAATGTTTGAACTTTGGGCTCCATAGTGCTGGTTTTTCACATGTTTTGCTGTCACGTTTACCCATGCACAGCCTAAATCTGTTAGGCTTCATTATACAACATTTGGGAATGCATGCATATAATGCAACGTTTGTTATGTATAAAGCTTTATCTATTCTGCAGCCTTTTCCAATCTGAATCGAATGGTGTCGTTTTACTGTCGATTAAGATGGGGATAGAGATAGCCAAATCCTTCATTTTATGCATTGGTTTTCTATTTAGTTTTTATTAGTTGAGTTGACTTAGACGTTTATTTCTTTACTTGCTATATATTTTTGTGTTACAGAATTATACATATTATCTTAACGCATGCTGGCAGAAGCTAAACCATTGTGTTTTCAGGCTCTTTGGACCTGACAGCTTCTTCTATTGATGATTTTGCGCTGTTAGGTTTGGTCACTTTTTGAAAATGAACAATCCACACAGTGAAGATCAAGTAAGCTGCAAACCTCGGTGAATCTTTGTATTATCTATACTGAAGTGTTCCTTTCCATCTAAATTATAACCGCTGTGCAGGGTGAAGCAGCTGTAGCAGGATTTGAGGTTCCAAGATCACCAGAGGTAAGTTACAACAATGTCTACCCTGTTAATGAAGATGACGGGCGAGAACCACCTATCCTCCCTCCACACCTGCAACACAGCCTACTGAACTGCCCAACAAACAGAGACCCATCTGGTTCTGGGTCTCTACCATTGCCACAGAATGTGGTTCTAAACCATCTTTATATTGAGAACCCAGAACCCCCAAGATCAGTAGTGGCGCTTGGGGTCACTCATCGCTTCCGATCCAAATTTGTTACGGTTGTGCTTTATAAACCAGTTCAAAGAAGGAATTAGCAGCAACACTTGACCTGTCTATATATTGTAAAACCAGCTTGTGGGTTTTGTTTGTTGTTATAAGGGGAATAGTTGCACTATATTAAGCCCAATTTGGAATTAGCAGCAGCCAAGAGTTAGAACTGCCGGTGAACGTGGGTATCCTTCCTTCGGAATTTATGAGCTGGAATCATTGAAAATACACGTCGTATAAACTCTTGAGAGGTCAAATACAATATGTTCCAAATTGCTGGAGCATTTTTCTNCCAGCTTGTGGGTTTTGTTTGTTGTTATAAGGGGAATAGTTGCACTATATTAAGCCCAATTTGGAATTAGCAGCAGCCAAGAGTTAGAACTGCTGGTGAACGTGGGTATCCTTCCTTCGGAATTTATGAGCTGGAATCATTGAAAATACACGTCGTATAAACTCTTGAGAGGTCAAATACAATATGTTCCAAATTGTTGGAGCATTTTTCTTACATTTTTTTTATTTATCAAACTGCATTGAAAGTATCCTTGAATTAGTTGGTCATTTGATGCCCATTTGTAGCAGGTGATGTAACAGATATAGTGTTTCTGAGATATATGTCATGGTGGTCACCCGAGTGAGAGTGTTGCATTGTAAATACGTGGTNTTGTAGCAGGTGATGTAACAGATATAGTGTTTCTGAGATATATGTCATGGTGGTCATCCGAGTGAGAGTGCTGTATTGTAAAGACGTGTTCTCATGCAAGTGAATGAGCACTCTGAACATCACCCTCTCTCTATATCTCTCTTCACTTGCGCGTCACACTAAATGATTGNACGTGGTCTCATGCAAGTGAATGAGCACTCTGAACATCACCCTCTCTCTATATCTCTCTTCACTTGCGCGTCACACTAAATGATTGTTACCTCTGTTTTTTATTTCTCATTATGATCGAAGGCGTATAAAAAGAGGTGTTCATAGAATTAACGAAATGAAGTTTCAAAACTTCTATGTTGTCATGTATTTTAGCAAAATGTCTATTTCCTCTTAATTTGTCATTTTTATACAAAAATATTCTATGGAATCTTGTCCATAGATGGAAAACAACCCAAGCTGCTAGACAAACAGCCCTTGGGATTACTACATGTTTGATGCATCAAACCTACAGGGAACGAAGACATTCCAAGGGCAACAAAACTAGATATTATAATCAGTCTACACATTAGATGTAATGTACGTTCTTTATTTTTTGTTTTTTGGGCATCTGCTTCGACTCATACCCGTGACATCAAATTAGAGTAAAACAGCCCAAAATTACCAACTTTCGTGGCACCAAAATTACCATCGTTACCCAACTCATGAAGCACCCATCTTCAATGAACAACAACTTTGGGTTTTCCATTTGCTGGCTCTTCCCTCTATTACCCCCAACAACTCAATATCTATGCATTGGTAGACAATAGGCTTCATAAAAATGAATCAAAATCTATCTTTATCTTTAGGTTTCAATTGAAAACCTACCATTTTTGGTGTCCCCAATCTTAAGGGTTTCTCTTGACCACCATAAAAATTCTGAACTTTCGCTAAATTTCAACCTAATTAGTCCTCAAGTCGAAAACCTACCAATTTTTGTGTCCCCAATCTTAATGGTTTCCTTTGATCACCATAAAAACTCTGAACTTTCACTAAATTTCAACATAATTAGTCCCAAGAACTGAAATAAAACCAACTGCATTTTCTTCATTAAAAGAACCCCTATAAATAGTGACCTTCCTCCATAAAGATTACAGCTGATTGATGTAGTGGTTTCACCAAATCATTGTGAACCCACCTCAAATTGGCTATTAAATTCTTATTGCAGATGAACAAACCCCACAAAACCCCCTCACCTGTATTTTTTATTTCACACAAATGAATTTCAAATTGTTTCTAAAACTTCACTTTCAATGCCATCAACTACCTATACTTCTGCAATGGACACTAGAATAACAACTAATAATACTACACTACTGAACTACAACCACAAAACTACCTAAGCAAACACAAAAAAGCACAAATGGTGGAAAAATCTTTAATTTTCATGGAACTTGGGAGAAAAGAAAGACGGGTTAGTGTCTGACATTTTATTCCTAGAGAATGGAAACGGTAAAGTCTATAACTCGAACTTGAGTTATTTAAGTTTTGATGTATCTCCTGAGTACTAATGAACCTATCAAGCCAAGTTAAAAAAATTCATAAGCTTAAAAATATGTTCAAACTAAGCTCGTTTAGCCAATGGATCTACCGTACGAGTGGTTTTTGTGGGTACAACAACGGGACCTGGTTTGTGTATCTATTTTTTAGGGTGCATATGGGTGTAGGTGGGTGCACCCTTACTTCCCAACAAGCATACTGAATAGGAGGGTGGCCATAAAATCAGTTTTACTCTTCCTTGCCCCTGCTTCCTCTGGTGAGAACAAAAAAAAAAAACCCATAATTAAGTATATATAAAAGTCAGCTAATCAGGGGCTAAAGTTAAGACCCCTTTTAAGTAACAGACAAGGAATGTTAGTACTAAGCATGGACATTCTATAGCTCTACAACACACTAGCTTGGTTGACTAATACTATACAAACTTAAAAATACTTGACTATGGGTCAAGAATTTATTAGGACCTACTACTTATTCACTGATAGTGATTCATTAAATCAAGTTTTTAAGTCAATTTTCTAAGGTTATTTGACATTTTCCAGCTCGATTTATCCAATTATTGTTATCATTTGATTGCATCTCTCTTTTTTTTCGTTTCATCTTCCCCTTTAAATTGATAAGACTACTCTTAACAGTTACTACAATGTCTCGATATTTTGAACGGTTGAAATAATCCCTTTGTAAACAGGAATAAGATTATGTACATTTAATCTTCTCTACTGCACTAATAGTTATTTTTTTTTATTTTTTTTATGTTCTTGCATCTTAATTGTTGCCTTCAATTTAGAGGTAGTATACCAGTTATTGAGAAATGGACTTGGATCGCTAAACAATTAAAAAATAATAACTGCCAAAAAAATATGTAAATATAATAATGACAATCATCAATGCCAAATATCACCACTGCCCTCTACTAGCACACATTTGTTGTTGGCTTTTATGCACACATTGGCCATCAACTATGTTGATTCAATTAAGATAGTTGTTGCCACACCTTGCCAATCTTCTTTAAATGTATCAAACTTCCTTCTTGGAAGGTTATACCACCTAGATCTCATTACAACCCTTAAATCACATTTCTTCTAGGGCTGTTGGGAACTTGCCACGTGGCATAGGAGATCTTTGGAGGTTGGTGGTTGGGTGTATAATAAAATAGCAATATTACATGACTTAATTCAATATAATCACTGAATTAATTATAAGTTTTAATGTTAGTTAAAACCCATTTTCAATCCAATAGTTGTAATTGATTAGGTCCTCAAATTAGGTTTAAGTAATATTTTTCATAATAAAAGGAAACCATGTATGTAGAGGAGGGATGTGTGATTTATGGCCATTTTTTTTTTTTGATCTAAGATTTATGGCCATTGATTATAAAGATAATGAAGATACAATATCAAAAATTATTTTTCGATAACTGAAATCACATATAAACAGTCAGTTCCCCGATTACTCTTTTCAGCTGACATAGAAAGAATATGTGATTAACGTTGATTTTGATTGTCTTGTTGGATTTTTTTATTGTACCTTCTCAAAAATTACGATCTAACCAAATCAAGTTACAATTCATGTAGACGATACTATTATGTATGTACTTGACATGATTGATCTCAAATTCTAGAACCTCACTAAATTTTTACTTTATCTGGGTCGTAATTTGTATCAAAATTTTCAATAATGCACCGAGGAGTATATTTTGCCTTTTCTCGCAAATAATTTGGCCAATAATTTTTTTTTGTGTGTGTGTAATTGCAAATTTGTCTAAGTCTTATATTCCAATCATTTGAGGTCGACTATATAAATCCGTTTTTGTCATTGATTTCGGTCCCGCGTTATACGCTCATTTGGGAAGGGGATGCGGTCATGACCCAGCTACAAAGATGTGTTACCTATTTCCTGCGTTTGATATTTACCTACTTTCATTCCCCTCGTGAATAAATGGAGCCAAAAGTTGGTTGAAATAGCCCCCAGTAAACTGATTTCAAATGAGGAAAAAATCATATGCCTCGAAATCCCCTGCCCCAAATATTTATTGGGTTCTAACTACATTACTGAAAAGTTATTTTTTGGTACGATATCTCCTATTTTTTCACTAATTAGAGCACAAAACGTACCAAAATTTCTATGTTTTATTATTTCAAAATCAACAATCATAAATAAACTAATATAAGATTTACGTCTAAAAATCATTTTTCGGTACGATATTAAAAACTATGTTTTCGTACATAGCCATATCCCCGTACTAATAGTAACTAAATCGGAATTTTTTTTATAGTAAATCTGTAATTTTGGACTTTTGAGTTTACGCCTAGTGTCTTATTCGACTAGTAAACTAATTAATGTCGATTCACGAATAATGATTATAAGATTATCTGTCTCTCTATCTCTCTCTTAACTTCAAAATTTTGTGCACTAGGTATGTCATTTTTTTCCATAATACTAGTTAATCATTGCAGATCAAAGTCCTTGAAATTAGAGATTATATTGTGGATAATAAGTTTTTCGCTATGTCATAATCATCTTTACTATTAAAAAAAAAAAAAAGAGTACCTAGTACATGAGACTCCCGCCGTTGCAGGTTGCAGTCTTACCCAATAGATAGGCTATTTCTGCGAGACCCATCTTTCCTACTAATTATCTCGATTTGATATAAATGCACTCCTAGAGTTAGAGGCAGAGCACAGTGTGATGGAAGAGGTTTTGAAATTTGACTTTAAGTGCAATGGCAGAAACTCACGGGCATCCTCATCTTCCCCCACAGGCTACAGTCAAAAAGGGCACCCACCTCACCAACTCATGGCCACACCCCCTCTTACTACTCCTTAAGTCCTTGCTAGCAATGAGCTGTGCCATTTCAGCTACTCACGAATCTGTTTATAAGTTCCCCTTCCTCTCTTCTTTCTCACTACCATAAA